ATTTCGACAAGGTTTTGTCATCAAACCTTGTCGAAATGTTGTACATTTGCTGTTATGTTAAACTTATATTAAAGTTTTTCTTCATTACCCACTCAAGCCGTCTCCAGCCATTATTAACATTACCAGCTATTGTATGTCAATCATGAAAGCAGCAGATTATTCTGTGCTAACATTACCAATATCAGGAACAACATCATGATTCTGGAATCCCCAATAGTGGCTGCCAGTTCGGACAAATCCTGTCTGTACCTGTAAGCATTATACTACAGATTAATTGTATATACTTCAACTTGGCATGAGTTTTCTTGTAAATGCTGAGTTGTAGCATCTTTAAATTGAAATTAATTATTAGGAGGAATAAATAAAGTGAAATGACTGTATTGTTTGAAATATTGAATATAAGATATAATATATAGATATAAGTATTATATAGATATAAATTAAAGAAACCTAATGAAATAAAAATGCCCATTACTAATTTCACAAGTTATTTAAAAAATAAAGCTAGTACATGTTTCAAATAAACTACCAACATTTATATAATTTAATGACAGAATGAAAATATTCATAAATGATCCCAATGAAAAGTCATTGCTAAGGGTTGCCCAGCAGCAGTAACTTTTATGTAGCATCTAGACATTCAAAGGGGTATTACACCTCATCAGTCCAAGGCCAATTCCTATTTTCTAATTTATGGAGAGAGAGAGAGAGTAATTATACTTCTCCAGCCAAAGACCAATGTCTTAAAATATCTTACATTTAGTATATATATATACATTGTGTTTGTACAAAAGACAGGAATTTCCTGAAGTGATGAATTGAAAGAACTCTTTGTTAGATATCTGTAATGTAGATGACTTTACTTTCAGCTGTCAATCCCTAAAAACATACCTACTGGAATAAACTGACTGTCAGTTGCAGTGGGAAATTAACAATATCCAATGTGTAAATTTGTAGTATTCATATACACTAATGTCTGACAAATGAAATCAAGTATCCATAAAATGTCCCCATTTTCTTTCCAAGGTAAAATCATATACATTTTCTTTTGCTGATGTTCCTTATTTTAAATCTACCTGGCTGATGAGAGCTTGTATTTCTTTCAGCTAAAAGTTCTTACGTGATCAGGATGATAGTTTTGTTTACTGAAGTAAGCTTCATGTGTATTATATCTGTCTGTCTATCTATCTAGCCACATATCTGTATAAATAATACTGTTATGACAGCGGAAGTCACGTGAAGCTGGTAACACGTGATGAGTTTCTAGAAGGATCGTGAAGGCCCGAGTGTCTGCCAGACGCCTTCTATTTTAGTATATAAGCCCGGCAAATAATTTGCAGATAAGGGGAGATATAGAGACAGATAATCGAGTCAAGTCGTAAGTAAAGTGTGTGAATCGTTGTGAATTAAAGCGTGTGTTTAATTTAAAGTGACTGTGGAAATTCTGTGTACTGTGCAAAGTTGTACTGAGAAAGAATAAA